CCCCTAAACCCAAAGCCCCTCTTTCCCCAAACCTTATCCTAAACCCCAAAAGCCCTAAACCCTAAACCCCTAAACCCCCAAACCCTAAACCCCTCTTTCCCTAAACCCTAAACCGTGGACCCTAAGCCCCAAACAAATGGCCGTCTAAACCCCTAAACCCCTAAACCCTACACCCCTGAACCCTAAACCCTAAACTCCTAAACCCTAAACGCTAAACACCTAAACCCTAAACCCCTAAACCCTACACCCCTGAACCCTAAACCCTAAACCCCAAACAAATGGCCGTCTAAACCCCTAAACCCCTAAACCCCTGAACCCTACACTCCTGAACCCTAAACCCCTGAACCCTAAACCCTAAACGCTAAACACCTAAACCCTAAACCCCTAAACCCTACACCCCTGAACCCTAAACCCCTGAACCCAAACAAATGGCCGTCTAAACCCCTAAACCCCTAACCCTGAACCCTAAACCCCTGAACCCTAAACCCCTAAACCCTAAACCCCTAAACCCTACACCCCTGAACCCTACACCCCTGAACCCTACACCCCTAAACCCAAAGCCCCTCTTTCCCCAAACCCTAAACTCCTAAACCCCAAAAGCCCTAAACCCTAAACCCCTAAACCCCCAAACCCTAAACCCCAAAACCCTTCTTTCCCTGAACCCTAAACCGTGGACCCTAAACCCCAAACAAATGGCCGTCTAAACCCCTAAACCCCCGTAAACCCTACACCCCTAAACCCTACACCCCTGAACCTTGGGGGATAAGGTCGAAACCCTAAACTAAACCCTCAACCCTTAAGCCCTGAACCCTAAACCCCAAAACCCTACACCCCTGAACCCTAAACCCCTCAACCCTTAACAATAACCTAAGGATAATACTAATTGACACCCCTGAACCCTAAACCCCTCAACCCTTAACAATAACAATAAGGATAATACTAATTGACACCCCTGAAGCCTAAACCCGAAACCCTAAACCCTAAACCCTAAACCCTAAACCCTAAACCCTAAACCCTAAAACCCTAAACCCTAAACCCTAAACCCTGTCCCGCAACTCCTGGAGGCGGCTTCCCGGGCAGCTCACAGCGCGGGCTTGGCACCAGAAGTGAGGCCGGAGCTTTAGGCTCCCTTAAAGGGTTCCTTAAAGGGTTCCTTAAAGGGCTCCCTTAAAGGGTCCCTTAAAGGGTTCCTTGAAGGGTTCCTTGAAGGGGCATTAGTATGAGTTTTAGGGTTTAGAGGTTTTAATCTCCCTCAGGCTCCCTTAAAGGGTTCCTTGAAGGGGCACTATGATGGGTTTAGGGTTTAGGGTATAAGGGTCCATTGTCTTCAAAAAGTAGACACTTGGGCCTTTTAAAGTAGTCCCTCTTATTTCGTACTTTGGGCCGAATTAACCTAAACCCTAAACCGTGGGCCGAAGCATATGCTCTTTGGTTACATGAACGCTTCGAGTCTAGCGCCCGGGCCCTAAGTTATTGTTGCCTTTGTGTTTTGGGGCCAGGCGACACTGTAGTTTCGGGTTTAGGGTTTAGGGTTTACAGGGTTTAGGGTTTATAGGGTTTAGGGTTTAGGGTTTCTGCTTTGTAGGATTTGAGGTTATAGGGTGGCTTTGTGTCGAAGGTGGTGAAGGACTCGGGGAGAGAAAAAGAACCAATAGGAGAAGAACCAACTAGCAACCATGTGTAATTGTCAATTTGTCTCTCGGTGCAGCTCACCAAACGATTCAACACGCATTACAAGAGAGAGCCATGAAGCAAGAGCGACACTATACGCACAAACAGTTGTTTAGGGGTTTAGTGTTTAGGGGCCTTGAAAACCGAAAAAATGTTGCATGAGAGCAGGCAGAAGCGCGAGCAGTTTCAGTTTGTTCCTTGCAGCTTTCCTTGCAAAACATATGCTTATAGCATTGTCCACAATTCCAACTGAGCCCCACGCATGATCTTGACACCTTGTTCGAACCGAAGCACGAAGCCGTAAACCCTGGTTTTTGGGTCGGATGAAACAAGATCATTTTTAATGTAGCCCCAACAGGGAACCAGGTTTGGGCGCCGAGAGTCATGTTCAGCGATTCCCTGAATCCTGAGCCTTAGTCAGACCATGCCCTCATAGTCCTCAGAATGCACCAAGCCTTAGCATAAGGAGCGTAATTTAGGGGCTTAAATAATTACCAATACCATTTTTGGTGGGTTCCTTTTATAGTAATGATCTAATATGCTAATTCCTTAACCAGCCTTTGCTAGCGTGAACTTGCCTGCAAGAACTGCCAGTCCCATCTGTACTTGGTCACCCCCAAAACCTTTTGCACTACGGCTGATGATATAAATCCTGCATCACCCACAATAAGGAATATACCATAACTCCCATAGTTTAGGGTCCTTAAGTTAAGGTAATGCAGGATTCATATCATCAACAGTAGGAATACGAAGGCTGTATAAAATCATCGAGCCGAAAAAAGAAGCCCGGAAAGCAGGGAGTTTGGGGTGCACTGTTGTCGTGGGAGGCACCATCTGACAGAAACTCGTCAAAGACCTCGGTTTCTGAAAGACCGGAACCCCAAGCCCTGAACCCTCAAGGTTCACCTCGCCAGATGCCATGGTTGCCGCTTGCTGATCTTTCAGATATACAACCTAGACTCTAGATGGGCTCGTAGTCAGGGAATCAAGGTGCGTTGGCAGCAAGCTTAGCATAAGGAGTGTATTCTAGGGCCTAAAGAATTACCAATACCATGTTGGGGGTTCCTGATTATAACTATAATTGACTATAATGTAAAAAACCGGGGAACGAACCCTATGCTAATTATTCTGGCCCCTACATTACGGGATTGAGCTAAAGGACTCCAGAATTCCATCCGCCGGAGCAGTGGATGGGTTTCGGGTGTAGAGTGTAGGGTTTAGGGTTCAGGATATTGAGCTTGCATGATGGTTCGTCTCCACTGGCCATCTTCGTAGTGATCATTACAAGGCCCAACACAGCCGCAACCAGGACGGCAATGGGACCCCGCCCGCCCCCACCCCCCGCCCCCAAACAAGCAAAAAAACAGAGAGCAAATTACCAGCTTCTGTGTTGGTGCGGAGCCGTTTACGCAGGCTGTACCAAGCCTACAAAGCAAATGGTGTTTAGGTGGAAATGCATGAAGTATGGAGTTTCAACCAGCACTCCCACAAGCAGCTGTAGTCCGGTATTTCTGCTGTCTCTAAGGTTTTCGTGTTACCCGACCCCAAGCGTACGACCCTGCAGGCCGATAACAGAGTGTTTAAACTGAAGACAGACAGGACCAATATCCCACAAGATTTCCAACAGAAGCCGGATACGTTCGATGGGGGGCAAGATGTACAGCTGATTGGAAACCCTTGAGCCTCACACAGCGGCGCTTTCCACGATGACCATGTCCATTTCTGTTGCTCTTCTGAGCGGGAGGGCGGCGGACATCGAAGTGGAGGAAGGGTCGTCGCTGGAAGAAGTGCAACGGCGGGCGCAGCAGATGTTGGGCGTCAGGGGCAGGTTGATGGCAAGCGATGGAGCTCCTCTGAAGGGTACGGGTACAGTTCTTCAAGCTGGGGTCTCAGACGGCGATTCTCTTACCTTGTTGGTTCCTTCTCTGCGTATCCTAGCTGGCTCATCGTTTGGATTTGCAGGCGTTCTGAGTGACGACAGTCTGGTGTTTTGGGGGGAGGAGCTGCCTCAAGGAACACCATGGGGAAGGAAGGTGAAGAACGTGCAGCAGATAGCTGCCACAAGCGAGGCGTTCACGGCCCTCTTATGGGATGGTTCGGTGGTGACATGGGGTTCTCAAACGTGCGGAGGAGATAGCTCTGCCGTCAAAGAAGAACTTCGAAATGTGCAACATATCATCGGTACCAGGTGCGTTTTCGTGGGTCACAACACCGTTTTTTTCTCAAACGATGGAGCCTTTGCTGCCATCCTCGGCGATGGGTCCGTGGTAACTTGGGGCAGCCCAGAGTGTGGCAGCGACAGCAGCTCTGTCCAACATCAACTGAAAGGCGTGAAGCACATTGCCACCACAGCTATTCCTTAGGTTCCTGACTACAAACATAGTCTATCATTCCCAGCAGCCCTACTGAAGTCATGAAGGCCCTGTGTAACGCAAGCCGGCAGAATTTCCTTCCAGGCCTTCTGGCACGAGTGTGAAGCCCTTCACCGCTGCAGAAGCGTACTTAATCGGCGGAAGACCACTGACTCCTCATAATGCATCCAGATGTAAGTCCTACCCATAGGCTCCTAAGTAGTCCCTTTTTTATGGTTCATATTGTTTAGAATCCTATACAAGGTAATCCCAAAAAGTATCTACTAAGGAGCCTATGGGTATATACAAAGACTACGCCCTAACCTAAACCCTGAACCCTAGACCCCAAACCGTACTCAGAGTGGCAACCGCGCAAAGACAGCCTAGGTAGACTTCGTCGATGGCCGGGCGCTGACGGAGGAGCCTGGCAGAGACACCCTTAGGACGAGGCTTTCAGCCTTGTTATGCTATAGATTCAGAAGGGGTTATTGAAGAGAAAGCTGTGACAAAGAACTTAGTCGTGCTATGACCTGATAGTTCCGAAACATGACCCTTAGCCCCAGGCAGCCTACCAGTTCAAGGACTTACATGAGGAAGCCATGATCAACTCTGAAAAGGTCCCTAAACCCCAAACCCTCAACCCCTAAAGCCCTGAGCCCCTAAACCCCTAAACCCCTAGACCCCTAAGCCCAAGCCCGAAACCCTAGGTATTACAAGTACTGCAATCATCTCCCAAGGCTGCCTTTAATTCGCTTAGGCCCCCATCTTAAGCCCCACGTTTAGGGTTTGCTGCTAGGGTTTAGGGTTTAGGGCGTACGGTAGGGTTTAGGGTTTACTCTAGGGTTTAGGGTCTACTGCAGGGGTTTAGGGTTTAAGGGTTCGGGTTCAGCTTAGGTCCTAAATTCCTAATCTGGTCCCCGCCTTTGCACTGTGGACGGTCAAACTACCCGATTACTAACGATGTTCCGATGTTCATTCCAAATACTGTGCTCTGAATGGTTTTTCGGTACCTAAGCCCTAAACCCTAAGCCCTAAACCCTGAACCCTGATCCCTAAACCCTAAACCCTAGGTACCTACACCCAATTTTTGTTTGGGTGCGAACAAAAGGCCGAGAACCCAGTCCAGACCCTCAAGTTGGAAACCGAAAGACCAAAACTGAAGATAGGATGAAAGCTCTACCTAAAGGAGGCCTTAAAGGGACCTTAAACCCTAAAGCTTTAAAGGAGGCCAAAACTGAAGATAGGGATGAAAGCTCAAAAAATGAAAATATACTCTTAGAAGTTTTGGGTTTAGGGGTTTAGAGGTTTAGGGTTTAGTAGCTGAATGACTACACCTTAAGCTTATTTGGATAATATGATCCCTTATAGAACTGAAACGTGTCGTTTTTCTGTGATTATGAGCTCAGCGACTAAGTATAATAAACCCCAAAACTCTAAATCCTAAACCCTAAACCCCAACACCCTAGATTAGGCTTGAAGTCCCTCAACTAGGCTGCTCAGTCGCATACTTGTTTTTTACTTTTTTTTGGGTTCCTGGGTTCCTAGTATATTACAACTAACCTTAACAACCCTAAACCCTAAGCCCTAACCCCCTAAACCCTAAACCCTAAACCTTTTTTCGGTGGCCACTGAAAAGCCTAGTTAAAGACTCAGAAACCTCCCAAAGCCCAAAGTTAACTCCAACAGCCCACCTTCTGTGTGGGGCCCCAACACTTCCTGTAACTAAACTGGGGTCCCGTGTAAGGGGCTCTTACAGGGATCTATAAGGGTTTTTTTTATAAGGGTTTTTGTAGGGTTTCTATAGGGTTTCTATAGGGTTTATAAGGGTTCTATACGGGTAGTTTAAAGCCGTGAACCTCAAATCCTACTTTTTGATCCAATAGCCTACTACTGTAAGAGTTCTACTGCCTTGCGGTTTACCGGTACACGTTGAATTTGCAACCCGCATCCCTGTGCCTGGAGATGCAGAAGCTCCAGCTTGGCGGTCTCCAAGAGGACATCCACGACCTGCAAAAGCAGCACCTCCTGCAGGCAGTGGTGCAAATTTCCGATCCTACCAGTCTGTGATGTGATTTAAGATCAGGCGCGAATCATACACAACCTCAGCGCCGAGAGCTCCGAGGAGATGTGACCTCTGGACCCACACAGCTTTGCGATTCTCACTCTCGCACAAGGCAGGCAAGGATCTACAGAAAACACAAACACTCGTCACAAATTTCGTCAAATGCCCGAGCCTCCTCGAAGAAGTTCGAGCTTCCACTCCCCGCACGAAGCGGGTCCCTTTTTAGGTCCCCAGTATAGTACGGCATCCTGATAAAAAGGACCCCTAAGAGGGGACCCTGCTTTTTAGAGAGCTACCCACATGGACTCCAGATTTTTGAGGGGCACCAAAAGCGAACACAATGAGCTTGGACGCTAACCCGTGGCTCTAGGGAGTTTTTTCGTTTTAAAGGGCTTGGGCCCAAGTGGTACGAACAGCCATCAACTCGCTGAACTTGGACGAAGCTCATTCAACGGTTCTAGCCATATTATACCCAGGGTTTTATCGGCAATATTCAAAGGAGACTCGACCCTGATGTTTGAGATAGGGGTTGCACATCAGCTTTCGTTCGGCTCGGCGACTTGGATGGTGCGCACCTTCTTAACGACGAGAGGCCCGCTGACAGGATGCTGACATACACGATTGGCCGAGCAGTGGCAAACGGAGGTACGCAATGGCGGCAGATGGGTAGTTCTCTGAATTAGGGTCCCTTTTCTTTTCAGGTCCCTAATTTCCCCAATATAGTATGGCACCCTTATAAAAAGGCCCCTAAAGTAAGGGACCCTAATTTTAGAGAATTACCCAGATGAGGATGAGGGATGCAGCTTCGCACGTGGAGATACTGTTGATGATATAGATCCTTAGCAATACCTTAAGGACCCTAAAGTATGGAAATTATGGTATATTCTTTCATGTGTAATGCAGGATTTTTTTCATCAGCCGTATGGCTCTCGAAAGCTCGAAAGATGAGGTCGTCTCCGTGCAGCAGGCTGCATCTCAAACTTCACATCAGTGCCAGGGCAGGAGTACGGCCTCTTATACGGCCTCTTCATGACAACCACAGGAGAGATCTCCCTCATCGAGATATCGACAATGGAGAAGCTGGGTCTCCATCTCTCATCGATGGCAGAGGAGGCAGACAGAGTGTGTCCCACCTCCTGACTCCAACCCCTAATCCCTAAACCCGTAAACCCTAAACCCTAAACCCATAAACCCTAAACCCTAAAACCCTAAACCCTAAACCCTAAACCCCATAAACCCTAAACCCTTAAAACCCCTAAAACCCAACACCCTACATCTCCGCATATAGCGATCACGAGAGGAAGATCTCCACGAAGCGGGCCGTATCGGTCCAGAGAGCAAGGTGCGGGGCCGACGGGCACAAGGTTTTAGGTTTAGGCTTCGAACTTTCCTGGTTCATTCAGGGTTTGAGTGTACCCTAAACCCTAATTAAACCCTAAACCCTAAGGGTTTAGGGTTTAAGGTTTTAGGGTAAACCCTCAACCCTAAACCCAACAAGGCCTAAAAGGCACCCTAATTTAGAGAACTACGCATTTGTTGTTGTCTGTCCTTCCTTGCTTCAGTTTGGGTGTAGCCGCACTGAGTTTGAAGCTTGGGGTTCCGGCGTCAGGGAAGCCCCAAACAGCCCTACACCCCCCTGAAGCTTCTTGGATCTTACCGCTCCTGCTACGGCCCTTAAAGAAGCGACTGCGCATGATCTTGGCCCCTGAGCTTTAAACCCTACCCATAGGCCCCTAAGCAGTTCCTTTTTCTGGTTTACATTTTGTATCCTATAAGGTAATCCCAAAAAGGAACTACTTAGGGGCCTATGAGTAAACCCTAAACCGTACCTTCTTCAACTCGGGGCTTTGGGGCTTCCCCGGTTTAGGGCTCGCGGCGTCCTGCGTCGATCTGCACAGCCTACAGCATGATCTGAAGCCAAAGGCCTGACGTACTGGGTAGCAAGAAGAAGACCCCGTAATTTAAGGGGACCCTTCTCGAACCCC